AAAAAAAACGTTACGAAAGTTTTTCTTTTATATGCACAATTCCTTTCATAATAAAATAAAATAAAATAAATAAATAAATCTCCATAGACAAGCCAACTTGACGAAAGCTTAATACATCTTCGTTTCATTTTTGACACCCTCACCTTCCCCCTGACTTGACACCTTGAAAGTATCTCTATACCGCTACTCATCATTAACACCCCACACTCGCCTACCCATTTTAGACAATTCGCCCTAGCTGTTACCATGGTGATTTTGATTTCAATTTTTAAAACAAGTAAATTTCAGATATACGTTATTCCAACAAAAATTTCGCTTGAAGATGGAACGGAGCCCTTTTAATTTCAACTCAATTTAATTTAAAGGATTATATTGAAGTTTTCGGCTCTTGTTTTGAAACATGAGACCTCTTATGTAGCGATTTGGAATCATATTTTAAATAAATAATTATATTTATGCTCTACTTTTGTATCGAGCACTATTTTTTAAAATAATAACAAAAAATACTAAGGAACTTTGGACTATTTACCTAACCAGTTCCTTCCTATTTTCTATATATTTTCACATAAATAACCGAAAAGGTCTGTCTGGAATTTTTTTAATATTTTTCCAATTTTCATATAAAGGTGTTGCTCGAAGTTGTGGATAAACTAACCGAAGTTCATATTTTGTTTTTGTTTGTTCAAGTAAATTATCAAGAACCAGTGTGCTTGTCTGCGTGGTAGTTAGAATTCCTTTTTGTACATCCTGTTATTCTTTGGGAACTTGAAGTTTGAAATAGTCTGGTGAGACGAGATGTGTAACTTTTTGGTAACGAGAATGCGATTTACCTATTTATTTTATTTTATTTATTTATTATTTTAATTTTATTTATTTCTACTTTTTCTCATCCTAATACAAATAATAATAAACATTAATTATATTATACGCACAACACACAAACACACACACACACACACACATATATATATATATATATATATATATATATATATTATTAAAGACATTTTTTTTATTTATGTTTAACGTTGTTATTTTATAGATTATTAAACATAAATAAAAAATATCTTTAATAAATAAATTATCGGACCTTGTCCATTTCTTAACATATATATATATATATATATATATATATATATATATATATATAGAGTGTGAGAGGAAAGAATAAATTAATACAAATGTCAAAATTCCATTGACATTACCTTCAAAGTCACGACACAAGAGTTTCGAAGACGGACCCGCCAGAAATCACTCCGTCCACTCGTCGGGTGGTGTCAGAAATTGACTGCTCATTTCATTGGTGTAAGGTTGTTTTTTTATAGTGTGTGTGTGTGTGTGTGTGTGTGAGAGAGAGAGAGAGAGAGAGACAGACAGACAGACATAGAGAGAGAGCGCGCACTCGCTCATGCACTCGTTTGTATGTATATGTGCGTACGTATAGAATGTCGTGTTATTTCTTTTCGTTGTTTATTTGTTTTCCACTTTTCACTCACTCCCAGTGGATACGGGGTGGTGGGGGTGGTGGCATAAGAGGCCAATGCCCTCTTAGGATTTTGTTCACCCACTTTTTAAAGTTTTGTAGAGGAAAAATATCAGAGCAGACAAATTACACTGATCTGCTAGTATTGGCGTTAGTATTATTAACCGTTTGTTTTTGTTTTGAAGTTAACCTCTCTTGTGGTCCAACAGCTTGAGAGCGAAAAAGAAGGCAAGAGAATAGAACTTCACTACTATGAATGAAAAGTTATTCCGTTTAATTTAGTCAAATAACATACTAAAAATCATTCTTAAGTTGTGTATACGATAGTGGTGTAGTATGAAAATAAAGACGCTGCTTGAATTTGCACCCACTCCTCCGCAGAAAAATCTCGGTCCCTAAGTGCCCCTAAAAACACCCCCCAACCTACTTTCAGAGTTCCAGAATCGCCACTGCTCACTCCTTATTGGTTTCTGAATTTTGCTCTTCTCTTTCTTTTCCGGATTTTGTTAATTCGTGGGCATCCTCGTGCTTTCTTGAATTAGGAAAATTGTATTTCATCTTTTACATAAACAATTTTTATTGCTAAAATATTAATTATAGGAGATTAGGTTTATAATTCAAGTTTTATTTGAATTTGCATGCATATGCTTACATTCAAAGGTTCACATACATACATATGTATGCATATACATATATTGATATCCATACATGCACATACATTCACATATATGCATACAAATGCGCGCACCCAAACACATGCACACGTGTGTCTGTCCCTTGCTATTAATATATTAATATAAAATAGAAATTTTATTGTAATATAATTATGTATAATAATGGATCATATGCAACGGAGGTGAAGAATTCAACTAGAAAAACTGAAAATAAATACAATGTATCTCTACAAATCTATAAATTTTTTTTTTTTAGAACGACAATTATTTATTGAAAAAAGTTTGAACAAAGTAACTATAAACAAAATGTTTTTTTTTCTTTTTCTTTTTTGCTATCCTCTGCCAGCCGCAATGATGGAGAAAGCATTACTTCGAACCATCGCCAGATAGACACGCTGCATGAGCGACTCCGTTTCGCGAGGCTCGTCTCTTAATCCAGACGCCATCCTGCCAACCCTCCGAAGGAATGCCATCGAAAGAGGGCCAATAATCCCAGTAGTTTCCACTGCCACAGCAGTAAAAAAAAAAAAAAATCTATCAAGCAAGAGAAGAATATTTGACTATTATAGTAATTAGTGCTTAAATGGTAAAGTGATTTTTTTCCGAAATGTTAATGTATTAATTATAGAAGGTGGGGTTTATAGTGTATTTTATTTGTTGCTTGAATATATGTATAAAGGGTATGTAATGTAACTCTCACACACAAACGCAGGCACACACTCACAAACACACAAATCCGAGCACACACATGTGCATATATATATTTTTAAATATTGTTTATGTATTAATTAAATATTTGCTTACATGTTATCATTTATCTAATGTTTCATTTTTGTTTAATATCTAGTTTATTTGTTTTTGTTTTTTACCTTAATGTTATCTTAAATATTGTGGTATTAATTATAGAATGTTAGGTTGGTAGTTCTTTATGTGTGTGTGAATGTATATATTTATATATATGCGCACACCGGCACACACACACACACACATACATACGCGTATATTTAATATGTGTTCGTTTATTTTATTATGATTATTTTATTTCTCTGTTTAATTTTTTTTTATTGTATATTTACTTTAGTTATTTATTCATTTTATGTAGTTTTTTTTTTTTTCATTTTGGTTAATTAGTGTTAAGATGGCAAAGTATTTATTTATATGACTACACTTACCTATTATTTGATATGGTTGTATGGTTTGTGCATTTTACTTTAAAGGGACATTTTGTGGTTGTAATATCTTTTAGGTGTTTTATTTCTATATATTATATATTTTTTCGTCTGTTTTAATGTTATTACTAACAGTAGTTTTGCATATTATGTTATTGGTTAAACATTTATTGTTAAATGGACAATTTTCTTTTTACATTTGATGTTGTTATTTTGTTTGATGCTATTGTTTTTGTTGGCTATTTTCTTGTTATGCTTACCTATTATTTTCTCCATATTATCCAAGCAAATGTAACTAATTTTGATTATATTTTATTGCTCTTTTTTTTTTATAATTTGCTGTTAAGAAAATGTCTGTCAATTAGTTTGAAATATATTTTGCCTATTTTTGTTTTTATTATATTGCTGTAGGGCAGCGGTGGGCAACCTTTTTGAAAGTACATGCCAAAACCGGCCAAATATTGCACAAATTTTTTCCACGTGCCAAAAAAAAAAATCTTTCGTGTACCATATTATTTGATATAACTTAAGTATGTGAAGAAGTTTTTAAATGATTAAACTCACCCCAGAGCAATGAAGACATGATATTGTAAGAAATTATGTAAATCATATAAAACTGACTGAATGAAGAAAATTATGATAGGTTTTTATGAAAAAGTATTTTTGTGATATTTTTATTAGCCTGTAAGTATAAATGTAACGGCCATATATACTCACACAATTTAAAGACACTTTTATTAACATCAATACAAAAAGTTAACACTTATTTTTTTCGATTAATCAATCATCATTTTTTCCAATTATATATTGTATGACTAAAACAGTAAAAGCTTATTAAAAATAATATTTTGCTGATTTTAAATCCATTATAAATGATGTTTAAAAAACAAAATATATTTATTTGCCTTTAAAACTATATTTAAACAGCCCTGAACGTTTGCCACTTTCAAAAGAAAACAGCAGCTAAACCTAGAAACAGAAAACTTGCTGACTTTTTTTTATATATTATCAGTGGGACTTCTGTTGCTGCATCACTGATGAAAGAGATTTTATATCGGGTTTTTATTTAATAACTTTGCGAGATATTATCCATACACATTTAGTTTCATCCGTCAGTCTTCTTCTATTAGGAGTCTTAACAGGGTTTATCACTGAGAACAAAGATTCACACGCATATAGAGATGAAGACAGAGATAGTAATGCAGCTGCAAGTTTTTTAATCAGACAAAATTTTCTGGAATGGTATTCCAAGTCCTTAATACTTCGTTTTAACGCATTTCTCTCTGTTAGTCCCATCTCTAATCGCTCCTTTTCAATATTTTCCAAGTCAACAAATTTCTGTTTACAAATTGAGCTACTCTGAAGTTCAGTAAATGGCATTTCAAAATCATCCATGTTTATCCATGAAAACATTTGCAAGTTTCGTTCGTCCAGTTTGATACTGTCTGGAAACTTAATGAATTTTGCTGTCTCTTCCAGTTCTCTGAATTTATCTTGTAAAGAACTGCTCAACAGTTGATTCGATGATGTCGACAAACAGCTTTGATACATTTGAAAAGCCTTTATATAACCAAACATAACATCAAGTGTCTTACCAGTGTCCTGTAATTTAATATTGAAGTCATTTAAATATTCACAAAACCTGCAAAAACACAAATCCTGCTTTCTCACCAGTCATGTTGGGAGGGGGGCACCATCTGTTGTGGCAGATACTACTTTTGAAATGTGAATTAGTCGAGTAGATATTTCATTCACAACTGCTTTGCATTTCAGCCCCGGTAGTACGCTCAGCTCCGGTAGTGCTGCAAGGGCAACCATCTCTTCACATACTACAAAATCGAGAAAATATTGCTAGCCTAGATGATGATGTAGTCCTTATTTTCATCAATACAACTAGAATAAACTTATATGAAGACAAATCTTTTGTCAGTTGTTCAGCTGTATTCCTTCTTAACTTAAGTTTCCTATCCTTAACTGTTTTCCTTCTTACAGACAAATATTTAATGCGCTGAATAATCTTTTCCTTATCTGAAATTTTGTCAATAATTTTTAAAACCTCAAAAGTAGCAACAATTAATTTGGGACTGTGCCTACCTGAAATAAAGTTCATAAAAGTATCACCCTGTTTTTTGTCTTGTTCATTTCACAAGAAATTAATTCTCTTTGTTCCTCCTCAGTTTTATTGCTTAAGTTCTTATGAACACTTTCAAAGTACCTCTATACAGAAGTAAGTCAAAAAGGGAATCTAATGAATATCTTTCGCATGCCAGAAACAAGTCATCGGTGTGCCATGTTTGGTACGCGTGCCAAGGGTCACCCACCCCTGTTTTATGGGGTGAACCAAATTATATTTCATTTTCTATTGTATTTGTTTCAATTGTTTTCATTTTTGTATTCAGTTTGTTTGTGTTATATAGGAATATAAAGTGTCGCTGCCAATACTTGAGTTTTAACACAGATCGCCAGTGAGTAAACAGGGGTGATCCCATTACTGAATTAAGTAGACCACGTCACCATACAGGAAACGCATATATGTAGGAAGTAGCTGACGACTAACGATCGCTATTTCTAGTCTATCCTCTATTGCTATACGGACCGCTATTCTCGACTGTTCACTATATTGTTTCTCTATTCAGATCAGATCAGGGGTTACTTTTCAAGCGAGTATTATCGAGCAAGTACTATTAGTGCAAGTGCTATTCGAAAGCGTTTGAAACCCGCATTGTCCAACGGCGTACTATAGTTGTATCTGCGATTACAAAGTGTGACACCAGCCGTTGGCCTGTGGTCAACTCTCAGTCGCGGCGCGAAGTTGTAATGTTTCTTCTACCGGCTCTTTAGGGTTAACTCTTTGTCGCTGCCACCAGCCTGTGCCCCGGTCGATCGGTGGTCGTCGCTACTCGGCGAAATTACCTGGTCAGGATACCAATATTGGACAATGGCCCGTCCAGGGTCGAAGTCTGGTCATCGATGTTAACGGCTTCACCAGCTGTACCGGTTCAATACCAACTCTATCGTTCCCAGCTCACTTGCAACGTCTGGTTACTGGAGTAACTGCTTCAATCTCAAGTCTAACCTACCCACGTTGTGACTTTGATCTTAAGTAGACGAGCTCAATCAGGCGTCAGGCCGTAGTGTAAGCTGAGTCCAGATTGAAGGTGGTATCGCACAAGCGCAAAGAAGAAAAAATAAATAAATAAAAACCCAAGAGGTTCAAGTATGTTAAGAAATAACAATTTAACTTTATCCTTCTGTTATATACAGGAGTGTGTTTTCTCCCAGCCCGTTTCCTACGAAATGTGACATTTTTACGCTTCTTAGGCAAGTTCTGGTCCTCTAAATCAACTGCTCTAGTTTTCTAGGTGTTGGCATGGCTTCGTTCATCAGTATAACTTGCTATTGGTTGGATAAGCAAAGTCGGATGTCGTGGAATCTCTCGGTCAGCTTCTGCGAAGCAACACTCTGGTTAGCTCTGACTCCAACTGCAACTTAACTTGAACTTAATTGGAACTAACTGCCGAACGACCACAGGACGTTCGTTTATATGGGTACTGACCAAAAGCCGGTGTGGGCCGGACGCAGCTTGGCGTTCTCTTTGTTGTCAGACCAGGAAAATTGATTACTTCCCATTTTTGGAAAATTTATCACTTTCCATTTCGGGGGTTATCCGTCGTCCATGAGGGAAGGTCGGAGGAGAGTTATCCTCCTAGCCTCTTTCTCTCTCACATTCATATATCATACCAATCAAATTCAAGGGGCGTTAACAACTTCTCCGCCTTTCTCATCCATTCGCCTCCGCCTATCACCCATGCTACCACTCGACCATTATCATTCCGGCAGTGTGCGTGTGGCTAAGCTGGCCTCCTTATAATTATAATCTAGAATTTTCGTTTACAAAATTCTCCTTTCCCATCAGCCAAAATTTTTACGAATTCCACATTGCCAATTAAATTTTTATCATATCTTCTCTTTTTCCTGGGCCTCCCAAAAGTCACTTAGCCAGCACTCTTTACCGACTCATCAATCACTGTCAATATTTGCCATCTGGTCCTTACGTTAAGTTGGCTTTATAATGGAATCCTTGACTTGTTAAGAAATTAAATTCTTTTATCTCGCCAAATTTCAATTTTCCACTCTATTTTCTATCTCATGCCAAAATTTTATAATTGCCACATTGCTATTCAACGTCTTAGCGTCTGTCGGCAAAGTAAATGATAACAATCTTCTCACCTATATCGAGACAATGCCAAAATTTTATAATTGCCACATTGCTTCTGTATCCAAGAAAGAAAAAAACGATATCTTGGAAAGATAATTAACATTGATTCCCTATGCCTGTATCGGCATTCGTCTCAAGCCAAAATTTTTATGACCGCCATGGTCTGGCCGATATCTTAATATTTGCCTTTCTTTCTATCTCCCTCGGCGAGACATAAATCAACCTGACAAGACCTCACACGTGGCTTCTTCCACGGCCTTTACTGTCTTTTGTGAAAAGTACCTTTTTTTCGTAAATAGAATTAAAATCTTTTTTTTCATAGATCAGTCTGTCTTTTGCTTTAAGAATGTCTACTTTCTGTTTTAATTTCTATGGTTAATAAGTTAGCCAATTACCATAGCTTAATAGTGTCACAAAGTCACAACTACATCGAGCATTATAAAAGTGTCAAACTAGTATTCGTTAACATCACAAAAGTTTGAATATCCGCTGTTTTTTAGGGTTGTTTCGTTTGCTTTTTTTTTTCATTGAATATTGTTAAGTTGCTAGAATTTTTAAAATTCTTTTAATACGGTAAGGGGAATTTTTGTTAATGTATATTGGGTTGTTATTTGGTTTTCTCTATCGTTTGTATAGTCTGTAGCTTAGATCGGAGGTTATATGATGCAAATTTATTGCTTGATTGTTATATCGATTGTAAATTGTAGGATTTTGAAGGTCTTTATTATTTCTTTTTCTTATTTTGTCTATAGTCCTGGCGTTGCAATTTCTTAGAATTAACAGACCATCGTCACTGTATAAATCCGTATCTTTTTATTAATTATATTTCCTGATTTGTTGATTATGTATATACTACGAGCATGCATACTAAGTACCAACATAGCTACCCATCGTCACGTCAAAATTATTATTCTTGTTTTGACCCGTTTTTTGGTTTTTTTTTTTGTTTTTTTTTTTGTAGTATAATATATATTTTCGACCGTGATTTAATATATTTATATTTTCAGTGAGGGTAGTCATATGCAGTTTTTCTAAGTTTAGTGCATTGATTAATATATTCTCATTGATAGATGTGTATGAAGGGACAATTTTCTTTATTGTTAATGCTATTAAAACAATTGTTGCTTTTGTGTTTTTCCATTTGTTTATGCTTCTTTGAACATATTTTTTTCCAGTAATTGTTTGTTTATTTTATTAATGTTGCTTTTTGTGGTGTTTAATAATCTGCATGTTGGTTTGGTCGTGAAGTTATCCTTATGGTCGTTTAATTTAATAAATGGTTATACTTTTGTTCGTTGTTTTATTCTGTTGTCTAATTTTAGTTTAGTTGCTATATTTTTAGCTTCTTTGTTTATATCGTTTTCGGTTTCGTTATTTGTGATTTTGCAAAATTTAGTAACTTCTTTATCAACTAATTTATTCAAATTGTTGGTTTTCGTTTTATACATTATCTTGGATTTATCTGCTTTTAGAAATAGGTTTGTAGTTGTTTATCATTTTTAGATCTTTTCCAAGTCTTTTTTGGGAAATTATTGTTGAATTTTCTGATTTCCAAATTATTGATTATGTTTATGAAGTCATTTTCAAAAGCAATGATGCTGTTTTGTTGTGGCGAGCATTTCAATGATGCGAATCCAGATTTGTTCATATTATTGTAATTATTTTCGTTGTTGTTGCCACTACCACCATTGACATTGATTTTGTTGAAGAAATAATATACTTTCCATTTCAAGAGTTTTATAAAAATGCCCTATTTTTTCTCTAAGCATGATTTTGCAATCATGGAGGTTTGATGTAAACATATTTTTTAAGAGGTAGTTAAAATTTACTGATTCCATATTGACGTCAATTATTGTATTGATTTTTTGCGTGGGTGGATATAATTGTAGGACTGAATGCTGTGAAAAAGTGATCAAACTAAAAGAAAAACTTTCAAAAGTGATCAACTGAAAATGATTTTCAGGAGCAAAGACAATAGTGATATAGAAGATAGCGTGAAGCCAAAAATGCTGTCAGTCAGTGGGATACAGAGAGAAAAGACATTTAAGGCAAACAGTCATTGCAATAAAGTGTCCGAAATCAGAGATAGAGGAATAATAGAATTAATATATATATATATATATATATATATATATATATATATTAATTCTATTATTATATATTAATTCTATTAATATATATATATATATATATATATATATATATATATATATATATATATTGACTGTTTATATTTTTCGCTTGCAGATTTCATTGATGCGAGTTGATTTTTTTTAAAAGTGCGCACTCGCACACACACACACAGACACACACACACACATAAATCATGTTTGCGCGTATATGTGCGTACGTGTAGAATGTCGTTTGTTTTTAATTTTACACTCAATTTTTTTTTCATTTTTGAATTTTCTTTTTCTTTTTTCTTTCAGTTGTAGCGATTTTGAAACCCGGATTTTCAGTCATTCATTGTCTTTGTTAATTCTTAAGCCTACTAGTGTTTTCTTGAGTTAAGAAAATTGTATTTTATTTTTTACATATTTTTTTAATACTGAAATGATAATGGAAATATTTATATATGTTTTCACTTGGCTATTTTTTTGTCTTTTTATC